CAGCCGGCTCGGTGCTCAGCAGCAGGTTGGCCTCACCACCTGTCACCGTGCTCCAGTAGAAGCCGCTCTCCTGCAGCTTGCGCACGGTGTTCACCACCAGCTGGTACTCGCTCTTGGAGCTGAATGTCTTGAGGCGCAGGCTGGTGTCGAGGGGGCGGCTCATCCCGGCGGCGGGGAACTTGCTGTGGGTGACCATGGCGCAGGGAGCCAGCTTCGTGTGCTCTGGATGCTGCTGCCAGCAGCAGCCGCTGCTACACCATCACCTGCGGCACAGAGAGCGGTGAGCCCCGGCACTCCGTTCCCCGACTCTCCCTTCCCGGGAACCCCCGGTTCCTCGCTGTTATCCTCCCGCAGCAACAGCGCTCCCGGTCTCCGGCAATCCCCTTCCACAGCTCTCATTTCCCAGAAAAACCGGCAGCCCCTCCTGCCCAGCTCTCTCTTCCCGTGAACCGGCAGCACCTATCCCTGACTCTCCCTTCCCGGGGGATCCGGCAGCTCCCGTTCCCGGCTGCTGTTCTCCCGCGGCACCGGCACCCCCGGGAGCACCGGCACACCTGCTGCCTCCCGCTCTCTCCCCTCTCCAGGAGCACCGCTTCTGATGCGCTCCTGCCCTCCCACTCCCGGGGGCACATCGTTACCCCAGTCCACCGCTTATCGCCCCGCTGAGGCACCAACATCCCCGGCGATCCCCTTCCCTGGGCAGCACCGGCATCCCTGCTCCTCCTCGGCGATCGCCCCCCCGAAGGTCCCGGCACCCCCGGCTGTCCCCCCGAGCTCTCCGGGACTCCGTCCCGCTGCCGTACCTGTGTCGCGGGAGCCGGTCCTGGCGGCGGAGCGGGGCCAGTGCGCGGCGGCGAAGCTGCCGAGGCGGCCCGGGGCGGTCTCTTATAGCAGGCGCAGCGCCCGCCCTCGGGTTCCTGGAACTGCGCGGCTTCTTGTAACGCGGCGGCACCGCCCGCGCCCCGCCCGGCCCGGCCCGGCCCGGCCCGGCCCCCGGCGCCCCGCCAGCCCCTGCTCTGCCAGCCCCGGGCCCCCGGCGTGGCCCCGCCGGCCCCAGCCCCGGCCCTTCCCGCTCCGGCCCCGGCCCCGGCAGCCCGTTCTGGGCAGGGCTGCCCCCGCCCCTCTGCCTGCGGGGAAACGGAGAGCCCCGGTCCGACCCCCCTGGCGCCTTCGCCGTCTCCCGCCAGTGCTGGGGCAGCCGGGCCGGGGCCCGCCCTGATGGGGAGTTTGGGCTGGGTTGATGGGGGTACACCGGAGGGGTACAGCGGAGCGGGGGCTGCCGATCCCACGTTCCCAGCCCTGATTTCCAGGCCTCGGGGTACCCTCGGTCTGGAGACAAGGGGGGATCGGCACCCGGGGCTGTGCGAGGGCTCCCGGCTCCGATCCCCGCGCCCGAGCCCCGCTTCGGGCGGCGGTGGCTCCGAGAGCCCCAGGACGCTCCGTGCGGTTGGTGTTGGGCCGATCTGCGGGGCCGTGGCCCCCTGCCCGTGGCCGCTCGCCCGGGGCTCTGTCCGAGGGGGTTCCTCACCCTCAGCCGGAGCCCCGGTGGGGACGGTGCCCGGCGGGAGGAACGGCGCCGGAGCTCCCTTCCCCATCCATTTGGCAATTGTTGGTTCCGAGGTCGCACACAACCCGAGCTCTGTCCGTCGGTTTATTTTAAACAGTTTAATTTGCCCCGGAGGAGCGGCCGCTGCCCGGCAGAGACCAACCCAGTGCGGCAGTTCTGGGAATCGGCGCCGGCGAACCGGCTGCCCTGAAATGCAAACGAGCCCCGGAGCGCTGCCGGGACGGGAAGGGCAAAGCGGGGGAGGGACGGGACGGGCACCACGCGGCTCCGGGGCTTCCCGGCGGGACCAGCTCCCCGTACCGGGACCTGGCGGGGGTACCCGCGGTGCCCGGACTCCTCCTCGCCCGGCGGGGCGGCGAACGCCAGTTCCGCCGCGGGCAAGAGTCGTGTACATCACTTCAGAGCCGTTCGGCCTCGCCGGGGCTGGCCCAGGGGATACAAGAGACACCGGGGGGTGACATTGCCGGGCAGGCGATCCGGCGCCGAGTGAGCTCATCCCACGTGTGCGGGACGAGGGGACCCCCGGCCCGGCCCCGCCGGACAACGAGCCCTTCCTGAGCTCCTCCCGGACCCTTCCCGGCCCTCCGCGGACTCCGCGGACTCGCAGGCCGGGCGGGAAGGCGGGGAACGGCGGGGACGCCGTGCGCTCGGGCCGGGGTCGGCGGTGGCCGCGGCCGGGCCCGGGCGGGGCGGGCGCTGCGGAAGCGGAAGCGGAAGGCGGGGTCGCCATGGCAGCGCGGAAGCGGAAGGCGCGGGCGATGGCGGCGGCGGGCGGCGCGGCGCTGTGGCGGCGGCTCTCGGCCTGGCTGCCGCGGGGCCGCCTCGGCCTGGCCGCGCTGCTCGGCCGCCTCTCCGACCGCCTCTCCCGCGGCCGCGACCGCCGCGCCCGCAGGTAAGGACCGGCCGGGACCCCGCCGGCTGTCCCGGGGCAGGGAGGCAGCGGGAGCCCTCGGCCGCCCCCGCAATCGGCGTCGCGTTACCGGGACATCCCCGCTCGCCGCTTCCCCTTTCCGGCCTAGCCCAGCCCCTTGGAAAAACTGCGTAGGAGTAAAGGGGCGGCCCGGTGCCCCCAGGCCGGGGTCGGCTCTGCTCTCGTAGACCCCTTGAGCTCGCCCCACTGTCCCATCGCCCTCAGCACATCAGCCGAGCGTTATTTCCCCTTCACTTCCCATTTCCTTGCCTCGCACTGTCACCAGCCGCTATCCGACATCTATTTTTCCCTAGGGCAGGCTCCCCTCGGGTGTCAGAGGTGCAGCTCAGCCCTCGGGGCGGCTTTGGGTGCTCGGCACAGCCCCCCGGGATGGGGCCGGAGCAGGTGCCGGTCCCCTCTGTGCCGGGCACAGAGACACGAGGGGCAGGGCACGCTGTGCCCGGCGGCGGTGACCAGCCAGCGGCTGTCATCTGTCTGCTCTGTGTTATTCTTCACACCAAGGAAATTCTTTCCACGCTTCTGTTTTGGTCTCATCAGTGTTTTTGGGGCAGATAAATTAGGCTGAGCCCTAGAAAGCAATCACTGAGTTCAAAGAGCAGACCTGTAGATCCCCCTGTGTGGTGATGTGTGTGCGAAGGACAGCACTGTACCACGCAGTTTCACTTCACCTCTGGCTGTGAAGATGAAGTTTTACAGTGAATAAGAGTTTCAGCTCTGTTGTGAGTTTCTGTACCAAACCTACGTTTATAAAAATAGAACATACCCCAAAAAATCCGTTGTTTCTATTTAGGGTCAACTTTTTATTCAGAAGGGTCTGAGGTGGTTCCTTTTGATTCCGTTTTCTCTTTCTGGTTAAGTCAGTGATGTGAAGTACGTGGAAAGGGCTCCCCCTTAGTTCATTTTCTGTTCCTCTGAAACCTGGCTTGTCACAGTGTGGAATTTTGATGATTTCTTCATAATGTTACATGGTTTCTGGTAGTTGTGTGTGCGTGGTTGCAGGGATTGGTTGTACTTGGATAATCACTGGGCTGATGTCAGTCACTGCTGGGTAGAAGCTGCTGCTCTGGGAGCCAGTTGCTGTGCCAGTGGCTCTGTGGCTGGAGCAAAATACGGATTTATTTGATAATTTTAAAAGCCATAGGTTCTCAGTGCTGAATCAGGTTTAAGTTTCACTATTGGGTTGAAAGATCAAATGATGTTGACACACAGTAAATTACTTAGAGAGTGAAAAATCTGGAGGATGTAATTAGTGCGGATAAATTGACCTATACAGAATTAATCTGAATCAAACCAAATAGTATTGGTGCTGCAGGTTGATGTTCCTCCAGGTGTTCCAGTCAGAGTTTGGATGCTTCATTGCTGCCTTCAGAGCTGTTCTTGGAGCTGCCCTGGCTCCAGGCAGGCAGGTGCAGTTGGACTCACAATTCCAACAGTCCTTGCTAGAAAATGGCTTTCTGGGAATCATGTTTCTGGAAAGTGTCTGCTTGGCCGCTGGTCTGGCTTCTGGAAGTGTAATTGGGCTGGCCAATGAGATAATGAGGATAACATTCATCTCTGTTGATTGTTATTGTAAAATACATAAAATTTGCCACTGCTTCCTCCCTGGGAATAATTCCAGAGGATGTTGTTTGTGACCTGCAGGGCTGGGTTAGAGCCCAGCTGTGCCACTGCTGTGTGGGCTGAGATTTGGTGGGTTTTAGAACCCTGTGTTTTTGGATCCAGTGTGAATTCCTGTACCTCTGTGTGCCGTGCTCCCTTGCAGAGATGGAACAGTGGGAATCTGCTGTGTGTGGCCTGTGAGGCTTGAGGTGAGCAAAGGTGTATGAAGGTTATGCTCAGGTTCTGTAGACACTTATGAGAATGTGCCTGAAAAGTGGCATTTCTCATGTTTCTGTCCTACTTTAATTTTTTCTGCACCTTTGAGTGCAGAAAATATCAAGGGATATTTGCATTGTTTTTAACAGCTCGTGCTGGTGATCTCTGTCACTTCTGAGTATTCAGGCTGAGCCCAGTCCACATAATCTCTTAAAACTTGCCATCCCAGGAATTCCTGCACTGACTGACTCAGATTTCAGTGTTCGTGAATAGTCAGTGACAAACTTCTGGATTTTCCAGGAAACGCCACTATGAACCGGTTTCCTTGTAAGGATGTTTGGAAACCTTGTGAAGATCCAGGGTTGTATCATGAACCAGATGAGTGAAATCATCTTCCTGGAATCTGTGTTCGTTTGGGCTCTGGATTGTGGTAAAAGCCAAAAGTTCCTCATAACAAATTCTGGTAAAGGTTGTGATCAAGTTTCCTCTTGGTGTCTGGTGATGGTGGAATCATCAGGATGGACCACAGGACAGTGGCTGCCTGCTGGCCCGAGGACTTGGTGGTCCTCAGGGTAAGACTGGCCACCCCAGTTCCATGCCAAGGAGCCCGGCTCCCGTGAGTTGGGTTTGCAGACTGGAACGGTTCCTGTCATGTTCAGGGATGCAGTTCAGTCCCATGCTCATGGATTCCTGGATCTCATGGGAGCTGCTGCTGCTAATTGTGTTGAAATGTGGTTTTGTCATGCGAACAGACTCCTGCTGGGGGTAATTCTGTGACTGGATGAATTTGCATGTGTGAAACCTCCAGAGGAGAAGTTGCTGCCTGCTTCCTGTCACCCACTGTGTGATGCTGGCAGTAAGCTGGTTTCTTCCCAAAGTGACTTCAAAGAAATTAAATTTGTTCTGAAATTTCTTTTTGAAGAATGAGTTTCCTGACGTTTCCCTCACAGCTTTTGTGAGGTTTGCAGGGGAAGTTGTGACCCTCTCTCATACTTCTGTGGAATGCCAGTGGCATTGCTAGAGAGGGATGGATCCCCATCGTGGTTCCTGGGTCATTCCTGCTGCGACAGAATCGTTCCTTTTGTGGGTCATTCTTGGAGTGTGACCGCTGTGCCTTTGCTGGGGCTTGCACTTGGCCACCTTGTGTGCTGTAGATCTATTTTTGGGTAAGATTGAGGGATGGAGGCTACTACTTTAAAGTAGCGTGATCTTTAAACCTGAAATGTGAATGACTTCAGCCCAGCTGAGAGCAAAGCTTGACATGAAGGGAGTGTTGGCCATGGCCAAGCTGATGTGTGTGAGATGGAGATAATTCAGAAGTGGCTGGTTACAGGTACAGGTGGTACCACCAGAGCACTGCCAGACACCTGAGTGTCCACACTCTCATCTTCTGCAGCTCCCACCCTCCTTCCTCTCCCATGTTGTCCTGACGGAGGAGTTGTTTCCCCTCATCTCCATGCCAGCTCAGGGAAGGAGCTGGTGGTGTTCAGATCTCTTCTCCCACATTTTGCCTGTGTTTCTCTGTTCCTACATTTGGCTTTGGTGATGCAGATCAGATTATGGAAAGGGAAAGGCATTGTGGATCCCTGCCATGTATTGTCTGCAGCTCTTCCTTTACCTGTTTGGAGTATTTCTGGGAAGCAAAGGTTTCACTATAAAGAATTTCTCCATCTTTCTTTGCACAGATCATCATGGCTCCTTCTAGCTCCACTACTCACCCCTCCTGTTCCAGTGGTCACAGCCCCACCATGTTCCCTCTGTCCAGAAGGAGCACACAGGTTCCAGTGGATCAGGAATCTGGTCCCAGAGTTTGGGATCTCCAGCTCACATGTCAAGGTGCTTTCGTCCCCAGCGGAATTCTATGAAGTCCTGAAGGTAAGGTGTGGGCTCCAAGTTGTGGGAATGGTTTTGATACAGTCCCAGTTTTGCAGCTGCTGCCTGGTAACTGCTCTCATGTGGAATAGGTTTAGCTGCAGGGAGTGTGTTCTGCACTTTCCCAGAAAGCACTAGCTTCTTCCTTGCGTTTTAGATGCAGCAATGGTGCTGCTGTGGCTATGCAGAGCTCCCTGTGTTTTGTGTAGCCACTCTCCATGTGTTCCCCTTTCCTCCCTCAAGGCCAGGGAGCCAGTGCAGAGCTGTGGCTGAAGGCATCCTCCTAGGGGAGTGCAGCACTGCCAGCTCTGGGCTGGTGGCTCCCCAGGACCAGACACCCTGTGTGAAATTGAGCTTGTGTTTTGCTGCTGCCAGGTGCAGATAAAAGCAGCCAAGCAGCGGGTGGTGATGGCCTCACTGTACCTGGGAACAGGACTCCTTGAGCAGGAGCTGGTGAGTGTGCAAGGGTTTGGGGAGGCCAAGGAAGGGAATGCAGGGGAGGGGTGTGGACATAGCACTTCTGGTTTAGGTCTGGTATGGAGTCAGGGAACTGCTGCACTTCTTCAGGGAATAGTTAGCCTGGACCTGTCTAAAGGGACTGGCCTGGTGTTCAGAGTGCTCACGGGGGCTTTGTAAAAGTCATTTCACAGGAATCTATTTTTCCCTACATTTTTCTTGAATGGGATTCGAACTGTAGGTATGTAGTGCTGTGTTTGGTGCTCCAGGTGCAGGACACAGATGAAGGATTGGTTTTCTGCATTTGAGACCGAGGTCACCTTTGCCTCATGGTATTTGCCTTTTTTTTGTTCTTTCCTCTGGAAACAAAAGCATTTTTGCCCAAGGGCTTTAGGGAGAAGCCTGGCCTTGGCCAGGTTCTGATGTTAGGAAGCAAATGCCCTGGCAGGGTAAAGGTGGATGGAACCTGCATAGGATTTGTGCCCAACTTTGTCTAGGCTTGCACATAGGATTTGAATTTGCATGTGACAAACAACCTTGTAGTTAAAGAATAAAACTGCAGTGAATTCCTACCAACGTTTGTCTTTGGTGATGCAAGTCTGTGATTTGGGAATGATATTTTTCTGCTAGCATTAATTGCTCTTGTGAGACCTGAAGAATGTGGACACGTGAAACTGAGGCCCTTTGATCTGTGGCTTTAGGCTGGTGGAGGCTGCCAGGCTGGCAGATGCAAAGGCTGAACTGGCTGTGCTTGGCACAAGGAGCAAGGACTCGCACCAGGGTGTGGGAGCTGTCTTGGCCACGGTCTCCTGCTGCTGAGCACTTCTCTTGGAAAGTGTATTTGCTTTTGTAATGAGGAGAGAACTCTCTCTGCAGGTATATTGCTTAGAAGAAACACTGGAGAAATCACTGCAAGCAAAAGGCTCACCCGACCTCAAAGTCTCCATCCTGCTCGACTACACCAGGGGTTCCCGGGGTAGGAATTGCTGCTCATTGCTTTTGTCAGAGCCTGATTTTACTTTAGCAGAGGGGGTTTCTTGGCCAATTGGACCTACTTGCTTAAAGCATGCACCTTTCAGGATTGGTCTTTTGTAATCCAGAACTGCATATTCCCAGAAAATCTTCAAGCTGAGCAGCTTTTCTTCCAAAAATAGGTGGTGGGAGCAAGAAGGGCCAGACTACTCTGTGCAACTTGTGTAGTCTTGCTTGGTTCATTTGTTAGTGCATTTGCCCTTAACCCATCATGCTCACTTAGGTTGTCATTTTGAAAGGAGAATGGGAATTGTTGGAAGCAGCAGCATACTGAATCAGGAACCTGTGGTCATCTGCAGTGACTCCTGTAGATATGTTACCAGTGCTGGTGAGGCTTCGTTAAGAAGCTTTGAAAGTGTCAGACTGGCTGCCCTGGGACTGATTCTGGATGTCAGTTTCAATATTGACATAGTGCAAATGAAAGTGATTTTTGAAAAAAACAAAGAAAAAAGGAAGACATGTGAAGTGCCAGTGGATGGGGAGGGGTGCTCACCCTGTAAGCAGCTGAAGAGCTGTGTCATGATGTGTCCTGACTGTGTGATCTTTGTGTGAAGCTCCCTTTCTCTCCCAGGCAGGAAGAACTCTCGAACAATGCTGATCCCATTGCTGCAGAGATTTCCTGAGCAAGTCCGTGTGTCCCTGTTCCACACCCCAAACCTGCGTGGGCTCCTGCGGCTGCTGATCCCCGAGCGTTTCAATGAGACCATTGGGCTGCAGCACATCAAGGTCTATCTCTTTGATGACAACGTGATCGTGAGCGGGTGAGTCCTGCTGTGCCTGCCCTTGTGGGCATCGTTTCGCTGGGCTCTGGGCAGGGTGGCTGTGCTGCCTGAGTTGTCTGAGCATCTGGACTCCATTATGATCCTATCAATGCTCTTCTGAGCTGGGAGAGCAACCACGGTTCCTGCACATGAGATTCTCAGATGAAAACAAGTCTTTCTTAAAGGGAAAAATATTTTGAGATTCTAAAGGAAATGGCCAATTTGTGCTTTAGTGCAGCTATTCCAGAGTGAGGCCTGTAGCCTGGGCTGGGAGGTTGAGAATCTTGTGTCCGTCTCTGAACCCATCTCTTCCCTTTCCCTTCAGTGCAAACCTGAGTCATCTGTACTTCACCAATCGTCAGGACCGCTACGTCCTGCTGCAGGACTCTCCCGAGATCGCAGACTTCTTCACAGAGCTCGTGGATGCCATTGGAGACGTGTCCCTGCAGCTACAGCAGGATGACACAGTCCAGATGATGGAGGGAATGGTACACCCTTACCAGGGTAGGAGGGAGTTGTCTCACCTGGTTGGGTGATGGATCCAGAGGAGAGGAGTGACAGCCAGGGTTTAAGGATGACTTAGACTCCATCACGTGGGAGGTGCTGGGTGTCTGACCATTGTTCAGACTGTGGGGTGTCCTGTTTTATGCCATCCAGTATTAAAATCAAGATTGGTTGAGTTTCAGGGCTGGATCTGTTGGAATTTTCCCACCACAGTGTCTATCACAGGCTAATTTGGCAGGGCGTGCAGGGGCTGGAAGTAACTCTGCAACCGTCTCAATGCTGCCTCATAAATGTGCTGCTTTTGGCCTTAAACAAGAACTTCAATCCTTTGAGAAGTTTTTCTGATATTAGCAGCTGCAATTCCAGGTGCTCTGGGTGTGCGTATTCTGAAGGGTTTATGAATGTGCTGCTGCTGTTGATAATTAATGTCTTGTAGTAGAGTTTGTTCTGGGAATCAAATGGGAATCAGTTCAGGAAGACTGGGAACAAGCGTAAAATTGGGCAGTGATGTGCCAGGCTGATTGCGTCATCAGTTTTTGTCCTGGCCTTGCACTCCTGGGTGATGTAAGTTCAGTCTGGGGGTGGGAATTTATTTGTGTGTTCCAGCTCATTCTTGGTTGTCAGTGTAGCCTTGTCATTGTCCTTTCCCCTCTCAGAGAGGATATTTCGGGCTGCTGCCAGTTGCTGAGCATTTCTCTTCTGTAACATAGATCTGCTGACCTTGAAACAGCTGGTTTGGGCCTTGAGACAGAGTCATGTGCACGCTGTGCTGGCTCCTATTTGTTCCTGTATCCATGTCCTGTCAGTAGCTTTTCCTGGTGTGTGATAAATGACATGTAGCTCTGTGCCTGCATACCTCAGACACCACCTCTCTGACTTTTCCTGCAGGAGACAAAGTGGCTTACTGTGAGATTGCCAACCGAAGGGTCATGGAGGTCATCAACTCTGCCCGCACGCGGCAAGAGCGCCTTCATGCAAAGACTTTCCACAGCAGCCAGCCAGGCAGCTCCCTCTTATCCCAGCAAGGCTCTCAAGCATCTGGGAGTCTGAAACCAGAACCTGACACCTGGATCTATCCCTTAATCCAAATGAAACCCTTTGGGATTCAAATAGACGAGATGGTCACAGAGACACTGCTGACAGAGGCTGAGAGGGATGCCAGGATATACCTCACCACTGGCTACTTCAACTTGACACAGGCCTACATGGACCTCATCCTGGGCACGAGGGCTGAGTACCGGATCCTCCTGGCCTCGCCAGAGGTCAATGGGTTTTTTGGTGCCAAAGGGGTGGCAGGTGCCATCCCTGCTGCCTATGTTTACATTGAGCATCAGTTTTACAGTGAGGTCTGCTACCTGCAGCAGCAGGAGAGGGTGCAGCTGCAGGAGTACTCCCGGGCTGGCTGGACGTTCCATGCCAAAGGTAAGATGCCCTTGTGCCAAGGAGTTTTGTTCAGAAGTGTGTGAGAGCTGTGGGTTAGGATTGCGAAAGGAGTAAGGGGCTGGCTGAGTGCCAGGCTGGGTTTAACCTTCAAAGCACTCCTCCAAGGTTCCAACAACTGGCTTGTGTAAACCTGGGAGGTTTGGATCACTTGGGGGATGCCTTGCCTTTGGATTTCTGCTTTGATACAGTCACAGGGATAATGTAAGAGCTGTCCCTGCCCTGGCACTGGGGCACTGCCTGCATGAGAAATGTAATGTGAAGGACAGGGAGCATCTGGATGTGTTTATGGTGCAGTCAGTGCTGTGGTGCAGTTTCTTGTATCCCTTGGGCTGGTTTCAGCAGCAGGCAGGAGTGCTGACTCTGCTGGGGACCCTGCAGGGATATATCTGGGGCAGGTTCCAGAGGGGAGCTGCTCCTGGGGCCTTCCCAGCCGCAGGTCTGTATGAGGACAGTGTGAGTGTTGGGGGATTTTCACCAGCTCCCATTCATAACTCCCAGGGGATGCAGTGTGTGAGGAGCTGCAGCTTGTGCTTATGGGAGTCAGGGCAGCCAGAGGGCAAGGGACTGAGAAAGGAATATGGACTAATATGAGTTAATGGATGCTGCCCTCGAGGTCTTCCAGGGAGACCCTGGATTCCTGCTGGAGACACTGCCCAGCTCCCACAGGCACAGCAGGGTGCTCCAGCTGGAGTGTTGGGACACTGGGCTCTGGCTGTTCCTGTTTTGAGGAGAGCTGTTAGTGGGAATGGCTCCGTCTCCCTGCCTCTCACAGGGGTGCTCAGAGCTGGTGGGGAGGGAAAGCTGCAGAGTCAGCCTTCTCTAGACTGTGGAAAATCCCTGGGTGCTACTGGCTGCCTCTGTGTTAAAACGCCAAGCAGATCTCAGGGTGCCCCTCCCTAGGCAGTTGGGATACAGGGAGAACCCTTCTCTCCCCCCAGGAGGTCCCTGCCTGCCTTCCTGGGCTGTCCTGTGTCTTCCAGGATGCACGTGCTTGAGCGATCTGTGGTTCCCAGGTCCTGCCTTTGTTGAGCACTGCTAGCTCCCAGTGGGATGTGGTTTGGCATAAATTGAGCCCAGAAGCAGGGGCTGCTTTTCCCAGCTTCCCAAGTGCAGATGGCCACGGGTCCTGTTTGGACCAGCTGGGCCTTGTGGGACAGTGCTTTGGGCTCTCTGCTGTGTGGTGTTTGCTTGGAGAGGTTTGCTTGGAGCTCCCACGCCTAGCAGGAGGGACAGCTGGAGACATTTGCTGCCTTGTTTTTCCATTCCCCTTCGCAGTGGTGGGAGGACCAGCATGCAGCTCCTCCTCTGGCATGCTCTGCCCTTGGCACACGTTGGATTCACCTCGTTTCCTTCTGCAGGAGTCACGTGGTGTGGCAGAGAGGACAAGGACAGAAGAGGAGAGGGAGGAAGCCTTGGAGATGTGAAGGGCATGTGCACAAAGGAGCACATGGAGCCTAGCTCCTGCCTGAGGACATGAGATCCCCAGCAGCAAACAGCCTGTTGGTGCTTCCTCTCTGGGCTGAGACATGGGACACCCTTTAGTCCCCTCACTGACGTACCCCAAACACCGGGGCTGTGCCTCATGCCCCTTCTGCTCCCCTTAAAATGTTTGTATCTGCATGCAGCCTGAGGTGGTGTTCCCAGGGATGTCTCTCCTGGTGCATTCAGCACATGCAGAGCTCTGCACAGATGGGCTGCACATGAGCAGGGCTGCCAGCACTGTCCTGGTGAACATCCCAAATCCTACCTGCCACTTTCCTGGCTGTGCTGTTGGGGGTAACAGGGCACATCCTTTGGGATCAGGGTCCCTTCCAAGCACGTTGTGGTGGCAGGATGCTGGGCAGGGGGCTGTGTACTGTGACATAAACTCTGTCACTTCTATTGCCTGGCACTGGGAAGCTGCACTTCCCCTTGCTGGAAGGTGAGTCACTGTTAGAGCAGATCCTGCCAGATGGCCATGAAACCAGAGACCTGTAAAGGCTGTGGGACTGCCACAGGACACTTGGGAAGGCAAGGAATCTGTTCCTTATGGCTGCTGCTTGGGCAGAAGTCCAGCCTTTGGCTGGTCAGACACCAGACAGCCCCTGGCAGGGTCCTGTTTGGTGGCAGAAGTGACAAAACTGTGCCATGTGGATGCTTTGCTGTGGCTCCCAGAGGCCGTGGGGGCTGCCCAGCCCTGCTGTGGTGGGGTGAGCCCGTGGGGGCTGGAGGTGCCACGGCATTAGGGCAGTGCCAGCTCTGTGCTGTGTGCTGTGGGGGCGGGGAGGAGGTTACAGGAACTGGCAGTGAATCGGCAGCATCTTACTCAAGGCATTCTTGGAACTGCTCTGGGGCTGAGTTGGGAAACCTGCTGCTATTTTAAGGCCGAGGTGGTTTTTATGGTATGGGTTCTTTGTTGCAGTCTGTGTGTGACCAGCCATGGGGATAAGCCTCTACCAGGGACTCACCCAGGGCTCTGCTGAGGAGAGCAAAGGCTTTCTGGCTCCATTTGTGCAGAGTGGCCACACAGCCTCTCCTTGGCAGCAGTCCTGACTCTCTTGTGGCTGTTCCTTCTTGCCCTGCTGCAGTGGTGTGCTTGACAATAATGTGATGTTTCCATATTTCCCTTGAAAACCTGTCCTGGGCTCTGAACTGCCTGCTCTCTGTGCTGGTGAGTGGCAGTGGGGGCCAGGTGCCCTGGCAAGAGTGATCTCATCCCTGGTGGCTCCTCTGGAAGTGAGGGAGTGAAATAATTTGCACTTCTCTTCTGTTTCTCTTCATGGCACGTGAATTCACCTGCCTGCCAAGCTGGGAAATGCCTCTTCATGTCATGGTCCCAGGATGGGGGTTGGTCCCTGGCTCTGGGACAGGCTGGACAGACCTAGCCAGTCCGCCTGGGGCTTTGGGGCTGGTACCTTCACTGAAAACCTGTTTGTCTTCTCTCAGCGTGTCTGAATTCACTGTGGTGCAAAACAGCCTCTAAAGCAGTGACAGGAATTGCTGTAGGGTTGTTTTGGAGCAGTGCGTTCCTGGGGGTGCTGCAATCCCATTTGGGCTGTGCCAGGGCACCCCAGTCCCACACAGCCCTGCAGCCCTTGCTGGGCTGCTCTCTGCTCTCCAGGTCCTGCACAGAGTCTGTAATCCACATTTAAAACATTTCGTTCACTCTGAGGGACGGCACCATGTGAGCCCCCCCTGGCTCCCCTGGCTGTCACACTGCCTCTCTTCCTCATTTTTCCTGCAGGCCTCTGGCTGTACCTGGCAGGGAGTGACCTGCCCTGCCTGACCCTGATTGGCTCTCCGAATTTCGGATATCGATCAGTCCATCGTGACTTGGAAGCTCAGGTTGCAATAGTGACAGAAAATAAAGCCTTGCAGCAGCAGCTCCACCAGGTAAGCAGCAGATGCTGGGGGTGTTGTACTTGTGGGTCACACAGGGAGTGCTGATGACACAGTGGCAATAAAAACCTCCAGCTACAATAAGTCAAAGGCTGCTGGAGCATGGGGAGTCCTGAGGAGCTGTCAGTGAAGGGACTATTGATGAGCTGCCTGCTCAAGTACCCAGTGCTGGGAAATGAGGCCATAACGGGAAGGAATGTGTGTCCCCAGTGACCTCGGAGTGCTCCGGGCTGGATGTGCACAGAGCCTTGGAGGCCCTGCTGACTCCTCTGCTCACCATGCTGCACCTCTGAGCCTTAACCCCAGCATTTGGGCATTGCCCAGGGCAGGATGGGTTCTGGGGTAATGAGGAATGCCCTTGGAATGGCTGAGCTTGGACTGGAAGAGAGTCTCTGGACTGGCTGGGATAACCATTAAGTTCTATGACAAAATCTTTATCTTGAATAATAATATGACATTACATAATTTTGACACAAACATCTGTAAGTGGTTTGATATTCAATGTCCCAGGGCTTTTCTGTGCTGTTTTTGTTTTAATTAGGCAGCTTGGAATGCTCAGCAGTTCAGCTGCTGCTCTGAATCCTGCCTGGTTCTCCAGCTGTCTTTACCGAATCTTCTGCTGGAACTGACTGTCCCAAGTCATTTCTCCTGCAGTGTTCTGTTCCAAAGCAGATCAGTTTGGTGCCTCTGTGTGACTTGGAGACCTCAGAAATGCACTGTGTGAGGCAGGTGCTGGCAGAGTTGTCTGCAAGATCAATGGGAATTGCCCTCTTGCATCAGGGCTCTTCCCTGGGATGAGTCAGAATGTATCTAATCAAAAACAATTCTATTACTGGAAGAGTTACTTGAGCATTTCAATTCATATCTTGCCTCTGCTTGTTTCTAATGGAAGGGGAAAATCAATGGAAATGTGACACAAAGGAATTTTCTCACACAGGGCTGCAGTGATCTCATTCAAAGGGCTTTAAACCATTCCCGATTGCTGGAAGCTGATTCTGAAATGGGCTGGGTGTTTACTTTCTGTGGTCTTTTTTAGAAGACTTAATCCATTCCTGGGATGCTGCCATGAAATCACTTTGCCTATGTAATGTTCAGTTCCATTTTAAAAATGTGTGCTGAGATTTGGGAAGAAATGTGAGTGGTCTGGGTGACTTTGGGTGCTTCTGTGAATGAACTGAGGTTGATTCAGGGAAGTGGCCTTGCCTCCAGTGCTCAGATCTCATCATATTGCATGATTATGGAGCAGAATCCTGACACGGGACTGACCATAGCTCTTGGAGCATTTGGGGGTTCTCAAATTAGAGTGAATTGGCAGATTAATGTCTTTGTTCATCTTTTTGGTATTACTTTCCAGTACTTGGTTCCTGCTTCCCTGTTCCACCCTGAATTTAAATAGTGCTGAGTATTTTCTGCTGTTTGTGACAGCTTCAATTGCAAAAAAAGATGATGAACAAACTTCCAGGAGCTGTTCTGCTCCTTGTTTGCCTGCAGATCCTGAAACCCGACTGTTTGTGCTCAAAACCCTGCTTACCTGTGATCAAAGTGCTGCTCTCACGTGCTGTGAGTGTGTTATCAGCAGGGTGGCTCATTTCCTCCCTCTGCACTGGGTGCAGGCCGTGGGGGCCCGAGTGTTTCTGGTAATTCAGTGAGATCACAGCTGCACATTCATCTGCAAACGCGGCGCCTGGGCTGGAGAGAGCCGCGTAAGCCAGTCCCAGGAGCTTTGGGTGAGGTTTCCTTTTCTGGCAATCACAGCCTGGCCTTGAGGAGTTTTCTGAAACTGAAGCTCAGCTCATGCAACTGTGTGGCACAAAAAGGCAAAACCCTCTACTCTTGTTCTCTGTAGAGTTTAAATTGCAAATTCTTGAGGAGAGATGGTGCATACTTGTGGTAAAGATCCCTGGTCTTGATCTGAGAATTTGCTTCCCTGAAAGAACATTATATAATTTAACACTTGGGATTTACTGAGATCATGTTTCTTTCCCTGTTCAGGAGCAAGAGCAGCTTTACCTCTGCTCAGGTGTGGTGTCAACATCAACGTTTGAGCAGCCAAATCGTTATGTGAAACTGTGGGTGAAGCTGGTGGTACCTCTGATCAAGAATTTCTTTTGAAAGAACAAAAATGGCTGCTTTGGGTGAGTTTGCTGCCATTATGGGGAATTATATTGCACTGACTGCAGTGAATAGCTGCAGTGCTCTGTCATGAAAGAAAGATGATGGACATGCAGATGATGTGGGGAAAACCAGGCACTTCTTGATTCCTCTGGGGTACTGGCTGCCATGGACTGGGATCAGTGCTCAGGTCCTGACTGGGTTTTGTCTACTAGAATTTCTGGAAGGGCTACTGACAGAGAACCCATACAGTAGTATTTTCTATGCATGGAAATAAAACTCCCATTTCTGAAATGTGCCTTTCAGAGTTCTGCAGTCATACACTGTGTTTGTGTTACCTTGACCAGCCAATATAAAGCACTGCTGGAATATTGAAAATGTTTTGTCTTTGTATCTAGTCAGGGCTTTGCTTTGCCCCTGTAGTGTTGGTTAACAGGGGCAGCTGGTTTTGCTTTTCTGTTTTGTGATGTCCTGGGGTTCCCATGACTCGAGCCCCTGTGAGCTCAGGCCGTGACTCCTGCCTGTTTCTGTGCCATGCACAGTCCCTGCAGTTGGCAGTGCTGTACGTGTGCCCAGGGTGCTGTGTTCCCATATCCCTTGTACTTACCTAACTGTGGCCTCCTCCTCAGCAGGGCCTGCCTGCCTCCTTCACATTTACATGTGTTACAGGTGTCTTTCATGAGTTGTGGAAGGGCAGGGGAAGACTTGGTGCTGGTGTGGGTTTGGGGTGGTACTTGCTGCAAGTAGGAGGCTTGAACCATAACATCCTGCAAAGAAGGTGTTTGGAAGCCAGGTAAAAAGGTGTGTGAGTGCAGGGTAGGGTGTGAGCAAGAGTTTCTGGTCTGGCAGTGCCACAAACAGGATTTCTGGCACCTGAAAAAAGCTGATGGTAAGTGTGAAACTCAGTCATAACTGATAATAAATACTGCTGCTCTATAAAGAAATGAGCTGTTCTCTGTGCTTGCCCTTGGGGCTTGTCTGACTGTGAGGGAAGTTTGAGGTAACTGTATTTTAGAACTAATTGTTCAAATATTTCACAGAGTGGGATTTTGGTGAATTGTTTTATGCCAAAGGGACCAGCCTTGGCAGATCTACTCACCTTAATGTGTGTTACTGCTGATACAAATTATTTGTTGTGAAGAAAGGGCTGAGTAGGTTCTGCACCCTAGAAATAGAAATAACATACTTCAATGAGGAACCCGTTTGCAGCTGGATCTTCTCTGGGCTGTGCAGGTTGGGTGTGGGTGAGCTGGACCAAATCTGCCCCTTCCTTGGCCCGTCTGTTCCAGGCAGACACATGCAGGAGCGTGAGGAGTTTCTGCTCAGTTCCCACTGAGCCATCACACACAGAACTGTGGGAAGATGGAGAGCCAGAAGAGGGAAAGGACTCAGGCACTTGTGTGCAGTTGTTCTGTCTGGCTTCCCACGGTGGTCTGGCTCCCCACCAGCTCCACGTCAGAAACCACCAGTGGAAAACCAGTATCCGCCCTGAGAACCCCGTGTGCTGCGAGAGCAGGCCCCACATGGCAGCGCTTCCAGCACTGCTTTTATCCATACTTTGCTAAAATGGTTCTGCTACAATCAAACACAGACTAAGTTATGCAACTTGGAGGTTTTTACAAGTAAAAGTATTTCTGTTTTCCATTGCCATTAAAGTCTAGGCCTCTAGGAGCAGAGCCACACCAGCCAGGACCCACTTGGCAGCTTTCTCTTTTGTCTTCAGGTTGAAGGTCCAGACGTAGGTGGGCCCTCGTGTCCGTGTCTTGTAGACGGGGCATTCGTAGACGTTGCTGGTGTCCATGCGGTCCACGGGGATGGCTCTGAGCAGGATCACCGGCATCTCAGGAGTCAGCTCCTTCATCCGCGCGTCCGCGATGGAGCCCGCGGCCACGTCCCAGCGCGCGCCTGCAACGCACGGGCACTGCCACACACCTGGGCACTGCCACACACCTGGGCACTGCCACACACCTGGGCACTGCCACAGCCCTGCCTGGGCACTGCCACACACCTGGGCACTGACACACACCTGGGCACTGCCACAGCCCTGCCTGGGCACTGACACAGCCCTGCCCGGGCACTGCCACACACCTGGGCACTGCCACACACCTGGGCACTGCCACAGCCCTGCCCGGGCACTGACACAGCCCTGCCTGGGCACTGACACCGCCCTGCCTGGGCACTGCCACACACCTGGGCACTGCCACAGCCCTGCCTGGGCACTGCCACAGCCCTGCCCGGGCACTGCCACACACCTGGGCACTGCCACACACCTGGGCACTGCCACAGCCCTGCCTGGGCACTGCCACAGCCCTGCCTGGGGCTCTGACACCTGCCTGGGCACTGCCACACTCCTGCCTGGGCACTGCCACCTGCCTGGGGCACTGACATCTCCCTGGAGCACTGACAGACACCTCCCCGGGGCTCTGACAGACACCTCCCCGGGGCTCCAGAGCTGCTGGTGGGGGGAGTTCAAAGGTTAGGGTTGGGTAGAATGGCACCACGGTGGTAAGGTCTGACATGTTCTCATCTCACTGTGATCCAGGACTACATTTGCCTTACTGTGTGTGGGATGTCTGAATAAATTCTGCCCCCACCCCTCCCTTCAGCACGGCTTTGTATGGGAATTGCAGAGTTTAAGGTGGACTGGCCGTGGTGGAATCTATCACATGCTATCCCCTGTGCTCTCAGATTTTGTCCAAGTGGACCCCTCAGCTGCTCTGCTGAACTGCCTCATTCCCTCGCATTAGCAGTAATTATCATGAGTTTAATTTTCTCAATTTGTCTTACTCGAGCATCAGCTAAGAATGTGACATATGTATGCATTAGAGCCCTGCAGCCTCAGGAGCCCTGGGGTTCATGAGCTGGAACCCGAATTGCTAAAACACAAATTTCTGGCTTGGAAAGGCTGTGTGATCCGGGCAGTGCTGCCCTCAGCTGGCGGCTGAGCCCGGACCCAGCCGGACCCAGGGCTCCCTGCTCTGAGCTGCCACCAGCACGGGGCAGAGCAGAGCGGCCAGCAAGCGCTGACACTGCTGGGCTGCACGAGGCAGAAGGGCTGAGCTGGGCCTCCTCCATGTCTGAAACATCTCAGAGATGCAGTTTTTACCTTCCATGAACAGCCCGTGCACGTAGGAGCCTTCTCGAGGGGGAAACGTTATCTCCTCTCGGGTTTTCTTGGTCACATCCACTGCCAGACACATCTTATCCAGGGGCCACTGCTTTTTCCTGGCTGTGGACTGCATGATGGCTGTGAGGAAGGATTGGGGATTGAAGAATCCCGCCAGCCACACTGTTGCAGGCAGCACGAAATCTGTCGACCAGACTTCCAGTTCCTGGAAAATAAACCAGCAGAGTCCTTTAGGGTGGAGGACGTGCTGTGAGCTGCAGGACACTGACAGAGCTGATGCTGTGCTGTGGCTGGAGGTGGTGTGGGAGGAATAAGCAGCAGATTCCCCTGCAGCCATGAAGCTGAATCCCTGAATTCGTAGTGCAGAAAATACTGCTGTTTTTTTTAACAAAGCCAGTTTTATTAATTTTTTTCAAGGGGACATTCAGAGTTGTAGTGGGGCAGGGAGCTGATCTGCAGTGATGTACTAGAATGGGAACCCTGGTCAGATTTGTGCTCCCATTCCTGGAGGAACAGCCCTTTTCAGGTACATCAGGCTGGTTAAATTGATGCTGAGAAATAAACCAGTGCACTGGTGGGGAGAGTCCTGGGGCCCCCCAAGCTCTGACTGTCACACACGCTCTGCTCACCCTGATCCGCTGCAGCAGGTCTGCATACCAGGTTGCCAGGCTGAGGAGGGAGGGATAGGCATAACGTGTCCATGATTCTGGAACGCTGTCATAGAAGAGAGCATTGGCCAGCTCTTCCATCTCGGATGTAATCGTCAGCTCTCCCTTTGAGAAAGAGAAGAGCCCAGGCAGTGTCACTGCAGCCAGTGGAGGGGCAGCCCAGGGCTGTGCCCAGGCTCGGGGGGCAGGGCCGGGGCTGCCTGGCTGCACCTGGCACATGGGTGAGAGCTGCAGCAAGGGCAGAGAGAGCTTTGGAAATGCTGGGAGGTGATGCAGGCTGCTGCCTGCTGTGTACCTGCAGTCCCAGGTCCAGCTCCTTCAGCGAGCGCCTGATCTCATTGGTCAGGATGTTCATCCTTTCACATTCCTGGAGGGCTACAACCGTGTATGGGGTTTTTTCCTTTGCCTTTGCCATCATCTCCTCCATGTTGAACGGCTCCGGCAGCTGCCCAAGGATTTCATCCAGGACTGACTTCACCTGAAATGAGAATGCCATAAACCGCTCTTGCCCAGAGAAAAATGCTGCAGGTTCCATTTAAGTTGGTAAGATTTTTTTCTTTTTCTGCCCTGGTGTTTCTTTGTACCTCCTCCTCTGTTACTAATGCTCCATTCTGTTACTAACTGCTCTTGGGTCTTAAAAAGCTGAAGTTTTGGGGTTTTTTTGATAGCCAGGGTAAGAGACCTGAGGCCATGGAGGCTGTGAAATTCAATTGTAAAGTCCAGGCAGTCAAGAAGAAGACTTTTACAAAAACTTACTTTAAATCTCTGTTTTTAGTAGTTGCCCTCATGAATGGAGGTTCCTCAGCCAGCTCTACCTGCCCCATGTAAGCCATGTGTTGCCAGTGGTGCATCTTGGCCCATGAGGGTGTGAGGCTGCTGACCATGCTGCCAGCTGCCTCTGTGCTGTGTGTGCCACCATCCCTGGGCCGGTGACCACGAGTGGCTGGGCTGGAACCACTTTCCTCTGCCAGCCCCTCCTTACTGCCATGGGGCCTGCTCTCTCTGTTGTCTCCCCACTCTAGACTCTCAATTGTCACCCTTAAGAGGTTCCCCCCCCGCAACCTTAAAGAAAATCAGTTAATTTCTACCATAAAGAGACAGGACTTGACTTGCCTGTTCCTCTCGGGAGGCACCTGTGCCTCCGGCAGCCTCGGATTCCTTGGGCTGCAGCTCCAGCACGGTGCGGAAGAGCCTGTCTGAGGTGACGGTCAGGAAACCCATCTCTGCATTGGGGTGCAGGCCGTACAGGTGGGGGCTCTCCCCTGGCAGGTTGTCATCGATGTACTGGTGGTAGGCCTGGGCGCAGGGTCAGGGCCAGTGTTAGCTTGGAAGGGCAGGCAAAGGAGCCCAAAGTTCTCGGCAACCTTACAAACCCATCACCACTCCCGGGGCCCTTGGCAGCACCTGCCTGTGCACACGGAGGCTCTTTTTTAACTCGTGTCTCAGCCAAGTTTTTCCCTTTCCATCTCAACCACAGGATTTACTTTTGCAGCAAATCTGCATTCCCAGGGGACTGACACTCTCCCCGCATTCCCTTGGTGAGCAGAGGGAACACGCACTCATGCACATTTACCCACA